TCCAGCTGTCTCTGCTGTGCATCCTGCATCCTGCATCCCACACTATGCATCCTGCATCCTGCATCCCACACCCCATATCCCATATCATGCACCCTGCATCCCCCATCCCGCATCCCTCCTTCTGCACCCCACATCCCCCATCCTGCATCCCTCCTTCTGCACCCCACATCCCCCATCCTGCATCCCTCCTTCTGCACCCCACATCCCCCATCCCGCATCCCTCCTTCTGCACCCCACATCCCTCATCCTGCATCCCTCCTTCTGTACCCCACATCCCTCATCCTGCATCCCTCCTTCTGCACCCCACATCCCCCATCCTGCATCCCTCCTTCTGCATCCCACATCTCACTCCCCACCACCAGTCACCAGGACCTGCAGGTCACTGTGGAGCTGCTCCCGCCCCGTTCCGAAGCACCGGAGCCGCGGGGCCGGGCAGGGCGGTGACAGCCACTGTGCCAGCACCAGGGCTGAGCCACATGCCAGAGGGTTCCAGAGCTGCCCTTGGAGATGCCTCTGCTCCCCAGCAGAGTGGCACAGGGCTCTCTGGAGAAAGTTCAGTTACCAGAAAGAAGAAGAAAACTGAAAACATGGAAACATCATGAAAGCCCCAAAATGGCCCCGTGCTTTAAGGCCGTTTGCTTATCCTTGTCCTCAGAGCAGCCAGTGGGAAATTTTTAGAACAGAAAAGTGTTCTGTTTCCTAAAATGATGACGAACTGTGTCAAACAGCCCTTTGGGCAGCAGTTCCCCTCTCCAGGGGCCCACGAGCGCCAGCACTGTGACCCCACTGAGCTGGCAGCCAGCCCGTGTGCCTTCCAGGCTGTCAGGGCTGTGCCCGCGCTCCCAGGAACGAGCTGGTGGCAACCGCAGCCCTCAGCGGGGTCACGGCGACTCGGGTGCCCTGACATGAGGGACGTTGGCCAACACTGGGGCTTTCTCCCTACCCAAAATCGCCTCCGCCCGCCGGCCGCGGGCAGGCGCCGAGGGGAGGGCGAGCAGGGCCCGGCGTGCCCCACGTCCTGTGCCCACTAGAGCAGAGTGACCACAGTGGCACGGTGCGGTGGCACGGTGAGGTGACATGGTGCAGTGGCAGTGCCGGGGACAGCCTGCAAGGCCAAGTCACCAAAGGGAGCCAGGGTGTGCAGCACGCAGAGTGAGGGAGGAAGGAGCTGTGGGAGGATGGAGTTCCTGTGGGTTTTCTTTGAGCCAACATGAGAATGGTCACGTTTTATACAGGATTTCAAGAATCTTCAGAACTTTGGCCTTGCAGGAGCCCTTAGGACCTCTGAGAGAGGTTGTTAAAGCACTTCTGAAAACACAGAGAATGAGAAACATCACAGCTTTTTCTGGTTTAAAGCATCTCCTGACTGTTTAAACCAATCGTAGGATTTTTTGGCATCCTGACCTGATTTACCTGATTTACCTGACCTGTGTGTATGGGACAAGAAACCCACTGAGGACTGCCAGGAACCCACTCGGCACAGGGAGCTACTCCCAACTCAGGGCGTCCAGATGGGTAATTGTGCAGTGGGGTGGGCCAGGGAGAGCTACAGAGCTGAGAGCTCTGATCCTGCAAGGAGTCCCACGTGGGTGGATTCCAGCGCCTTCATGGGTCTCTGTGCAACACATAAATTTCAGATGTCAGTGCTCTACTAAGTACATTTCAATTCTAAATTTATCAAACAGATGTGTCTACTGCAGCGTCTTTGGCCTCTCCAAATTCTTCCTCTGAGAAGAACTCTCTGAGGCCCAGGCTCAAGCTTTGGAACTGCTTGTTTTGTTATCTTCTGTCTGTATAAAAAGCTACAAGGCTTTACTTGTGCTGGAAAATCATTTTCTTGCTCAGAATAAATCCAAATGTTTTCTGCAAGAAAGCAAACCAGGCAGCTGTGGGTTGGGAGACAAGGATTGTTGGGGCAGTGCCTTGGTGCTCATTCCAGTTTGTAATCACTTAATACAAGGCCTAATGGCAAAAAAACCCGTTTAGTTTCCCAAATGCCGCTATTTTGAAGGCATCCAGCTTTGGAAAAGTTACAGCTCCAGGAGAAAACATTTCAGAGAAACTAGGAGCCAGAAAAAACAAGCAGAAAAACCTCAAGCTGCTGCTCCAGCTGCACTGAATCCGTGCCCACCCCAGGAGCGCGCCGGCCTAGTACCAGGGCACAGCACAGCCCTCTGAGCCGGCAAACCCGGCCTCGTGCTGCCCATCAGAGCCCTCGGCGAGGGCTGGGCTGGTACAAAATAATTTTAGGAGGATCCGAGAACAGCAACCAGCCCTGAGAAGTGTGGGTGGGAATGCTCCCCTGCTCCAGCTGGGGACTCTCATGGCCGTGGGGGCAGCTCAGTTGCCCGTGTCCCCAGGAACACCCTCCTGCTCTGGCACCCTCTGGCGTGGTCACCTTGTCAGGCTTCTCCAGAAACCCAGACTCCAAAGCTAGATGCAAGATTCCCATTTCAGACAGAGAAAGCTACTGTCTCCTGAAAGGGCTCGCTGGTGAAGAAAAGCAAGGGGCCTGAAAAGCAAACACTGGTGCACAGTGTCAGAGTCATGAGGGGTGGGAAAACAGATGTAAGGAGAGAAAAAAGGTCCTGGATAGATGGAAAGAAGCCGGTGCTGGTCACTGCAAATCCGAAGCCTCAGTGACTCACAGCACAGGACACTGTCCTGGCATTGTGACAGCACAGGAATATTCAGCCTCTGCAGGACAGCTTCTCCTGTCAGAAAATGCAGAAACCCAGGGTTGGGGACTGCAAACGCAGAGTGGGGCCGTGCAGAGCCCAGGGCACTCCCAGTCCCATGGACACAGCCCTGGGCAGCCTCCCTGGGGTGCAGGGCCAGGACCCCACTGGGGACCTGCCTGCAGAAAGAGCAGCAGCAGGGACAGCACTCAGGCACTGGAAAAAGAGGAACAAAACACACTGGGACGGTTCTGTTTGACTTCATGGAAATTTATAAACACTTGTAGCAACCTACGCTTGTACACACAAAAACAGCTCCCAGGCTGATGCCGGGGGGCTGCCACCCACATGGGGCAATCCCGAGTTCCCAGCTGTTGCTCCTGTGGCACTGGCAGCAGGAACTGTGCCCAGAGCAGCAGGGACTGTGCCCCTACGGTAGCAGGGATTGGGCCCCACAGCCCCCCTCGCCCCCAGCCCCCCACCACTCCACTGCTGGTCCCATGTTCAGCTGCGCCCACAGAGGCGGAAAAGCCAGCACAGACACACAAGTGACAAAGGGCTTTAAAAGGACACCATGAAATATGTCTGCAAGAAGCTGCTTCCTCCCCACTGTTCACACTGTGAGACTGAAACTCAACTGCTCTCAGACCCCCTGCCCGTGGAGCCCGGCTCTGTCTTGGGGGTCTGTGCCAGGCAGTGGGTGTGAGCAGGAGGGGGATGTGACAGCCACTGCTCCTGTAGGATGGGTGCTGGGGGTGTCCCCTCCAGAGCCACCCATAGCAGAACCCTGGGAGCTTCCCAAACTGACAGGCTTGAGGGGTCCCTAAAGCACAGCCCTGAGCAGGGAAGGAAGCTGGGAAATGCTGGCCTAGTGTGGGAGCCACCAGCCTGGCAGCCCTGGGACAGTCACCCCAGGAGGGGATGAGGTTGCCACTGGGCTGGTCAGAGCAGCTCCCTCTGACTTCACCTTCATCCTACTTGCTCCAAGACACCCGTCCTGGAGCTGCTGGCAAGGGGCTGCAGCAGGAGGGGCCCAGCACACCCCAAGGTGCCACTAGTGCCTGTGGCACAGTCTCAGCCACAACAGCACAAGGCTGGTTTGGCTTTAAAGCCTCTTTCATGTACCAGATCCAAAGAAGGGAGCAACTGGGGCACTGCTGAAGCCGAGGGAGCAGGAGCACCATGGACACGACGTGTGAGCACCAGCGTGTGACATCCAGCAATAACAGACACAAGATCACACACGAGGCAAAGCCCCGGGAGACGGGAAGGACGGCGGCAGCATCCCATCGGAAAACCTGCGCCGGGCAGGACACAGCGCGCACGAGGGGTGGAGCACCCGGGAAGCAGCTGGTGGAATGTTTGGCCACTCTTTTGGAATGCTCCCAGCACCTAAGGAAAATCATTCAAAATGGGGAAATTGCCTTTGGGCTGGCAGAGGAAGCAGGGGAGCCACAGGTTGCTGTGTATGGCCCTGGAGCTAGAGCTGCAGACAAGCCTCTACTGCTACGGGGGTGCACGGGGTGGTCCTGGCCAGGGACAGCTCCTGGGTCAACAGGCATTGCCCACAGGACCACTGCTGAGGGACAGACTGGGCATCTCAGACTGGAAATCAATAAACAAGAAAACAAGAAACTGGGCAGCTCTTAGAAAAATGGTGGGTTTGACCCACATTCAGTGAGTTTCAGATCCTCAGCAGCTCTGTGCTGGCCCACCAGAATCACCCCAGAACAGATTTCTTGGTGTGCCTGTGGGAAGCTGATCTGGTGGGAGTGTGGCTCACACAGGAGGAGGAGGAGGAGCACCTGCTGCCCCCTTCCCCCAGCTGCTCCCTTGGAGCTGCTGACGTGACAGTGCTGCCTGAGAGCTGACCCCGGGCAGGGCTGCAGCCCCGCTCAGGCCAAGGCCCCGGCCCAGCCATGCCCACTGGCACAGTCTTCCAGGACAGGGATGTGCTGATGCCCGGGAGATGAGGAGATGTCCCATAGAGCTGAGTACAGTGCTTCTTCCCCCGTCCCTGCCCAGCCTGCTCAGCACGGGCAGCGTTCCCAGGCACGGCTGCCCCACACACTGCAACTGCAGCACAGCTCACCAAGCGAGGGACACGAGCACAGAGGAAGGGACTTCTCAGGGCAAGAGGGGCCAACCCCAGCTGCCACTGCTCTGCCCTCGCACCCAAGCATGGGCCTCAACCTCTGCACTGTCCGAGGTCACCCTTGTCAAGGCATTTCCCAAAAGTGAGCAGGTCAGTGGTGGCTCTGCTGTCCCTTCCCCAGCCGGTCGGTGTCCCCCAGCCCTGCCCACGCCACCACGTGTGCGGGCACTGCCACAGCCTGTGGGGAGGAGAGGTGGGAGGGCTGAAACCAGTTCAACACAGACGTGTGGGCAGGGCCTGCTCTCCATCGTGGTCTCCCTCTTCTAATTTCTTGAGCCACTTGTGGCTCGGAAATCATCGTCCAGTAAGAAGGCTGCTCTCCAGGGCACTGGGGCTGGCAAGGCTCAGCTGTGACTCCTGGGTCACAAGCACAGAAAGTCTCCTGGGTCCAGCTGGGCCGAGGTGCTTACAAAGCCTGGAAAAAGAAAACAAGCTCTTTGCTCTGCAGCAGTACAAATGCGTCAGCGATGGCACAACCACTAGACTCACACCACCCCATAAATGCTGAATTTGCATTACATGTCTGCTTTTGGTTTATTATTTCATTTGTTGTCACAAACACATACCTTTAGCCTCAGCTCTCATCACCTGGGATCCTGCCTTGTGGTGATGAAGAACTGGATAAAAGGAAATAAAAGAATAAAGAAAAAAATGAATGCAAGGAGCAGGCTCCGACTCAGCCCCACGAGCTGCTCAAGGCTGTGTAGTGGGCAGGGAGGGCTGTGTTTTGCAGTAGAACAAATGATCTCCCCAGCAGCACTAGCAGCAGCAGTTCTCAGACTTACTCGCAAACGTGCTCGCCCTTGGGCAGAGGCTGGCGACCCTTCAGAGTGGGAAGCTGGAGCTTATTTGGGCAGATGTTATCACAAGTGGCACCTGCTGGCACTGAGAGCCGAGGGCTTTGGTGCCCACACTGTCCACCCATCACCCTCTACGCCCCTGCCTGCACAGCCCCAGTGTGGGACCAGCCACACGCCCTATCCAGCCCTGCTCAGCTCGCCCATGACCTTTCTCCCCACAAAGCCCCAGTACAATGGGCACTGTGCCACACAGACCCACACACTTGGCAAACAGGATCCACAGGGATGTGTGGCACTTGGCAGATTTAATTTATCAAGTCTGTATCTGGATTCACATTTTACTCTTTGTGTACTTGTTTCAGCATTTTAGCTGAGCCCCACCTGCTGCCCACAAGCAAGACCAAGCCAGGCTGGGGCTGGGGCTGGGGCTCAGGGTGGCTGTGCTGGCTCTGCCTCAGAGGGAGCACCTTGTGCTGCAGGGCTGCTGCTATCCACGTGCCGCCTTCCCCATGCCAGCCTTACCTGCCTGTTCTTCGGGAAGCCGTCTCAAAGAACTTGGTCCTAGAGGCCACCCTGCAAAGAGGACAGGAAAGGTCACACCAGTGATTTGATCATTTGCTAATTAGATCTGCTCTGTGCAAGGGGAAAGAGCCACAGCATTGGCAGAACTGCAGAGATCCCCTTCAAATGACAGCTCTTGTGCCAAGGCATAGCTGGGCCCCTTCTGCCACCTGCTCTGTGCCCTCTGCCCTCAGAGCACCTGCCAGCACTTTGGCTGTGCTTACAGAACCATGGAATCATGGAATTTTCTGGGTTGGAAAAGACCTCCAAGATCATCTAGTCCAACCTTTGACCAAACATCACCACGCCAACTAAACCACCACACTAAATGCCACATCCAGTCATTATTTCCATACTCTTGCCTGTAATCCCATGTGTTGGGTTATAAACCTGCATCCATGTCTTTCATGGCCCCTCCTTCAGTGTTTATGTGCTCATACCCATGCTCACAGAAAGAGAAGTTCTCCCAGGCAGTTCAGGAGACCCAAGGCCTGGCCCTGGGTCATGGAGCTGACACTCACGGCACTGTTTTTTCTTTTGTTTAATTTCCACTGAAGCCAGCAGGGTTTCTGACTCTCTAAAACCTGAAAGAAATCTGAGGAGGAAGCGGAACTCCATCCAGTTTCCTTGAGATCCAAGTTGGATGTTGTCTTACCCCAGGAAGTGTTTCATTTGAGAGGTTTGCTGGGACCAAGCAGGGATGCCATGCCCTCTGCTCAGCTTCCCAAGTGACACTGGAACCTGTGCTCGCAGCGGTGCCGAGTGGATGCCCATGGGCTCCAGCCACTTCACACTGGCACTGGAAACCAACTGGGTATTTCTCCTCCTTGTCTTACAAAATTTCTGGGAGGTGACACCTACTCCTGCTCCTGTTGCCCAGGCTCACCTTGTCCCCCTTAAGCTTCCCGAGCCCCCAGAAGCCCCTGCTGGCACTGCACCCATCACAGACAGCTGGCTTACACAGATGAGGGCATCTCCTCTGCTGTCCCTGCTATCAGATCCGGCCTCTGCTCCAGCTTTGGAGGGACTGGCGTCCTGCAGGGTGGATCTGGAGGTCTCACGGGAGGACGCATTATCACCGGCTTATCACCATGGGAACGTGGCTTAGGGACACCGTCACACTCACCTGCAGGATGGAGATCACAAACACTGAGCAGGCAGCTTTGCCAGAGGGGGGATGTTTATGAAGGGACACCGAACAGGTCAGTGGATTTAGTTCTGTCTGTCTGCCCCAACTCTTGCTGACAGTGGCCAATTGCCAGAAGGGAGGGACAGAGTCCAGGGAAAGGCAGCTCCTGTGCTGCTGCCCCAGCACAACCTTCCTGGCACTGGGAACAGGGCTAGTGAGGACAAACTCGATGTAGCTGCTGACTGTGAAGCTGATACTGCCTGGGAACGACAAGTGTTCTTAACTAAATGCTCTGCAGCGCTGTTTGCAAAAGGGAGAGGAACAGCATGAACTGGTGATCCCTGTGGCCACTGCTTCTCCCAGCTTTTATGCAGTAGCACTATTTGTCCTCTCCTCAGCTGCTTTTCTTCCCCAAGATCCAGCCAACCTCACTATTCACTTAAACCCTGAAAGTCTTTTAGGGTCAAGTCAACATGGAATGAGTGTCAGACTTTGGCTGTGCCCACGTCTCAGGCTGTTCTGGTCTCTCCTCCCCTCCTGCCAAGCTATATTAAGAGGACTCAAGGTGAGAAGCCCACCACCCGCCCCAGGGAGGGCTAGCTTTGGCACCTCAGGCTTCCCCTGGGAGCAGGGCACCGCAGGGCACGGTCCCAGGGCACACTCACCGTCCCTGCTGCCCCCCGGCCGGGGGGCCGGTCTCCTGGCCTGCAGCGTGCCGCTCCTCAGGGCCGGGCTGGCCACCACGCCGTT